AGTCCGAGTGTCGTAGACTAGGGAGCCGGACGAGCATACTGGGTAAGTTCACTAGGCACAAAAATCGTCACTAATAATAAAATATTGAAAGCAAGCCATGTTATCACACTGGTATCACAAAATTATGATACCTGTATATTGGCAGTTATGAAGGAAGCTCACATCATCTTGCCCAGTATACATAACCCACATCTGATATGTCACACGTTATTTAATGACTGTTACATTTAAGATGTAGAAATTTGAAAGGAATGTTCAACTTTCATCCGCCTGTCAGCCATTTACAATGCATGAATGACAACACCAGAGCGCTGTGATGACGCGCCACCACCAGGTGCACCACCACCAGGTGTGCCGTCCTGGTGGCCTAATGCGGCAACAAACTACAGACAAACAAATACAAACTTCATTTTCAAACTACATGTTTAAAATACAGTAAAAACAACTACACCACAGCTGATCTTGAGGAGGTAAGAGTTGTGGTACAAAATACACTTTAAAATATTTTGAAATAAATGTTTGATGAAACATACTAAAATAGTTTTTTCCACAAAATATCCTTGTAAAATAGGGGCGAGTCCTATGCGAAGGTGCATCTTTTACATCGGCAAATATGGTACTAACTGGGCACCTAGGAAAGAGCGCCTTAGGCGCATACAGCCCAGCGTACAAAAAGCACCTGGCCATCACTCCACACAGCTGACAAAGCCACAAACGCAAAAGCCAGTCAGGAAAGCGAGGCCAGAGGAGACTTGTTGACACCAGGCACATCAGTCACAAACTGAGGTGGTGGGTTGCCGGTCGCTTTCCCCAGTCGATGGCAGACATGACATACTCTAAATGTCGAGTGCTACTAATGGCCATTGCTCCCTGCACCTCTCTGAGGGGACCAAGTTCTGGCACGTGGTCTCCAGAAGGGAAATAAAACTCCAGGGACTGATGGCACCAAACTAATATGGCACATATCAGTTTGGATAGCTTCAGGGAGTCGATGGAGCTCCCCACAGAAAATGGGGGTAAAACCAAGATGAAACAAAAGCAGACTAATGGGATGACAGGTAGCAACAGCATCCTCAAAAAAGAAGAGAGTTGAAATAAGGAAAGTAGACAAAATAGTTAAGGACCAGGCCGAGTCTAAGAACTAGCTCAGCACAGCCTGCCGACATGCAAGGCGAGCCAAGTAAAATGCAGCCACCACTTCTCATAAGATAAGGACGAGCAATTTGGACAAGGCTACAAAGCCGGAAAGGTCTCCATACCCAGGACCAAACCAAATGCAGATAATGCATCACAGTAACATGGCTGAAGATAAAATAATCAACCCACATATTAGAAAATGGAGATATGACAACATTTCAGTACATCCTCAAGCATTATCAAGTCATGTAATAGAAAGAGGATGTTGTTGTTTTAGATTTAGCTACTCTGAACAAAATGTTCATGTAGCACAGGCTATAGTAAGCCCGTAATTGAGTTCGGTTATTCCCGATGACCTTGTTACTGTGATATTTGGGTCAAAGTTTTAAATGCAGGTGCGGTTTCCTCCTTTTCTCAACGTTTCTTTTCCGCTTCTGTTTTAGCACACTGGTTGTAGTCTTGTTTTAATAACATTAACTTGTTGGTGGATATAGGTGTCCAGTGAAAGGACTGAGGGGTGAAACAAGAATGGGCTGGGACTCCAGGCTGCTTTGTGGACCCATCAGTACAGTACTAATGGGTTGTAGCTCGTTTAGAGCGATTTGCTTGTTTTCTCTTGAATTGCTTGCAGAGTCATTTGGCCATTTTGGTGCTTCATTTTCAACGAACACCGCAGTTGTCTATAAGGCTTCGCCGACTTTCTGGATGCTGTCCTGGTGGGGTGACGATAATAGTCCCCAGCTTCCTGCACCTCTGTGAGGTGGGGCAAAGTTCTCACTATGGTCTCCAGTAGGCCAAACACAACAAATTTGACCTACTTGAACAAACAGAACAAATTTGACCTACTTGAACAAACAGAACAAATTTGACCTACTTGAACAAACAGAACAAATTTGACCTACTTGAACAAACAGAACAAATTTGACCTACTTGAACAAACAGAACAAATTTGACCTACTTGAACAAACAGAACAAATTTGACCTACTTGAACAAACAGAACAAATTTGACCTACTTGAACAAACAGAACAAATTTGACCTACTTGAACAGAAAAGGGCCAAGAATCACATTTTTTCTGGGAAGTGCACAACATCTCCACAAAGTCTCCACAGAATATTTAGCTTCGTGTTACAAATTCTTTGATACTACTCAGTTTATCAGTGAATCATGCCAATTCTGATCCCTTCCTTCCGATTATGCAAAAGTTTTAAGAACGACTAGAAGTTGGATCAGGTTGTCAGGTAAGGTTAGTTTATGGTCATATTAGGGTTAATTTAGGTTAGAAGCCTTTTGTAAATATACTTACTTGCCATGCACCTAAAAAGCTATGAATAAAAATACATACAATGTATATATTTTTGTATAATTTTGAAGCTAGGGCTGTGGTCCAGTTATTGAAAACAATTAAGTTATACACCCTCATGTACAGCATACCCAAAAAGGCAAAACTACAATAACTTCACATTAGCTCTCAACTAGATTTGTAAGAATACTCAACAAACCCAAAAGTACTGAAATGTGCAAAACTAGCACTGCCAGTAAATTTCAATAAGTAGACAAATTCTGCATTTCCCAGAGTGCATCCTTATCTTGAGGTTATCTCGAGATGATTTCGGGGCTTTTTTTAGTGTCCCCGCGGCCCGGTCCTCGACCAGGCCTCCACCCCCAGGAAGCAGCCCGTGACAACTGACTAACACCCAGGTACCTATTTTACTGCTAGGTAACAGGGGCATAGGGTGAAAGAAACTCTGCCCATTGTTTCTCGCCGGCGCCTGGGATCGAACCCAGGACCACAGGATCACAAGTCTAGCGTGCTGTCCGCTCGGCCGACCGGCTCCCCTAATCTAACAATAAACATTTTTAAACAGAAAATATGCTTCGTCAAACTGTCTTGTGCACAATTTGACCATATAGCGTATCATCAGGGCCTAATCTAACATATCCTAACCTAACATATACAGTTTGAACAAACAGAAAATGAGCTTTGTTGAATTGCCTAATGTACAATTTGACATTGTCCCATATTCAGGTGATGAGTCACAATAACGTGGCTTAAGATATGAAGACTAAACCACACATCAGAAAATGAGGAGACGACGACGCTTTAATCTGTCTTAGACCGTTATCAAGTCGATATGGAGTAGTCTTCATACCCCATATTGTCTGGGGACAGGAAACCGGTGGTTTGTCAAAGGTCCCAACTATATTACTGAGAATTTATTTGATGATTCAGTGAATAGGCAATTCCATGGGATTAAGCTATGGGTGAAAAAAGTCCCTCCAGATGCCTGTCTTACATTGTGGTTTGTTGAGCTCCCAAGCTCAACAAACTGGTACTACAGTCGAGACCTTTGAAGGATCCCGGTAGTGCAGTCGGGTTCATTCTCAACCTGCAATTGAGAATTCCGGGTTCAAATCCCGGGAGCTACAGAAATTGTTGGGCACATTTCCTATCACCTAATGCCTCTGTTCACCTAGCAGGAGTTAGTCAGCTTGTTGTGGGGTTGCATCCTGGGGAGGGTCAGTAATTTGACCTGGGGGGGGTGGATCACAATATAAGCTTAAGCTGTCTCGTGCGAGTTTTCAAGAAATGGTCTGGATTAATGTCTTATAATCTGTTTAGTACAGTATTTGTGTCTGAGATCAGCCTCGTCTCATCTGATTTGCCATTATTAATCCTGAGGCTGTCAATCTTGCCCGAGATGAAGAGTTGACAGTCCTGGATGACGTGTCACTGTGGAATCTTTTCCAATCCCGTTATTTTAAATATAACTATTGGATTTAAATACAATTTTTTTCTTCTACCTAACCTCACCTAACAAAAATAGGTAAATGTGGTTTTGCTCGTAGTTTGCACGAGGTGGTTGATGTCACTGTGTTTAATCCCAGGACAATTTTTAGCCGCTTCCGCATTAAGCTGCACAAATCCGTAGTGTGTCGCCAGAGACGCCGCCTCCATGCTTGGATACAGTAGTCCAGCTGGCAACACACTACGGAGTTGTGCAGCTGAATGAAGAAGCATCTAAAAATTAACCTGCGATTAAACAGTAACGTCAACCATCGCGTGCAAATTATGTACAAAACTAAACTCATCTATTTTTGTTAGGTTAGGTTAAGTAGATGCAAGGAATTTTTGGCAGCCCTTAAACCCCACTCATTAAATTTCAACTTTCTATTCCTTGAAGTCACAATTTTGTTCCACTATTCCTTGGTTTGGTTGGCATTTTTTTTTTTTTCCTGCACCTTTAACTTAATGAGCAGCTTTAACGACTAGTGGGTCATTACTGTGAGGTCCTTCCCCTCAGTCTGCCGCAGTATGTCGTGTTCATTAGCGACATTGTAGTTAAGGTGTCTAGTGTGTTAGTCGTAAGCTCTTATTTGTCAACATTTGAAACCCGACGTTTTGCATCCTGCTTTTTATAGATCTTTGTTGTCTGTTAATGTGATGGAGTTCATAACATGTTATACTGTAGTACAAAAGTATTTGAACCTAAAGTGTTTTATAATTATGGTATACCATGACAATAGCACTAACACAAATTTGAAGATATTGTGGACAGAAAAATATTGTCAAAATAATAAGTTAATAATATTGCCAGTGGCATGGAAATGAGCAAAGTAGCCTGCAACACAGCTTTGTGGGTCAAGAGTGTGTTGCGGGCGAGGTGGGCGGCCGTGTCCTGGGTGGCAACACACACCAGCCACCACACACCTCTCATCTACCACCAACACACACCTACAACACCCCTGGGCATGACATGATGGAGGCAGCCAGCTGCTGTGTGAGTGTACACGTGTTGTGGCCGCCTGGGTCTCCCTACACCAGCTGTCAAAACATGTCCACTACTGTGAGCTCTTCTCACCTTCCACTGCTAATCTAGCCCTAGCAACACCACTCACAAGCCACAGGTGGTTCACAGAGACTGTAGTGCCACACATGCAAGCACCTCATGCAATAACGGCCTCCCATTACCTAAATACACAGCTGCTTGTTTAGCAGTTGTGATTTCGTCACTGGTGGCCGAGGGAAAGGGAGGTATGAAACGCCTCCTGCTTTATCATACCCTCACTACTTCACTCTCTTCTTAATTATCTACTCCATCTCTAACACCATCACAACACCTTCATTCATAAACAACAACTTATTGAATATAGCTGATTATTATATTTCTGCCCTTCAAAAGAATTGCTTTTGACCTTACGTTTAATTTTTATTGTTTGGCGCGAATGTTAAAACCTGTAACTTGCTCATTAAAACTGTAACCTGAGCTTACCTGAGAACTACTAACTCTAATAGCCTCGACGAGGACATGAAGCCAGCGGCTTGTCAAAAGGTCACCTATTTACCTTGATAATCTTTTCCAGCTGTACCTTAAAAGTTAACCGAATTTGGCAGTTACGGCCTCGGCGGGTATTTATTTATTTATTTATTTATGCATATACAAGAATGTACAAAGGAATGTGAGGATACAAATATGGTAATTACAGTCTTGTAAAGCCACTAGTACGCACAGCGTTTCGGGCAGGTCCTTAATCTAAGAAAATTTTAAGGAGGTAAATACTTGCAAAATTTATAGACAAAAAAAATGATAACAGATTACATGGAATGAAAAAAAAAGAAGATGAGAGAAAATTATAGGTACAGTATATTAAAGCACATAGGTAGCTATGATTGATTGCAATGACAGCTTAAAATGGTAGTTGACAACAAATTGGTAGGCACAATACAGCAGAAACAATATAAGATTGATTGCAATGACAGCTTGAATGGTAGTTGACAAAAATTGGTAGTCACAATACAGCATATGGCTAGCACATAAAAGAAGACAGCAATGAACACAATGATAAGGTTGTCTGATATTACATAAAAATTAGGAGATTGGGTAATACTAGGTACAGAGCAAATTTAAAGCTCAGTGTAGGAAACTAAATAGATGAAGTTAGGTACTTTTTGGTTTTGCTTTTAAATAAGGCAAAAGTTTTACAGTTTTTCAATTCACTAGGGTAGGCAGTTCCACGCGTTAATAACCTTGTGGGCTCCACAAACTCCCCCAATACAACGGTGCTTCGTATCCTCAGTTGGAACATAGCATCATTCAGGAAAATAACTTCCTGATCTCCACCACAAAGTGACGACCGAGCCCATTGATGTCGTCTGCCTTCAGGAGTGCAGAGTTCCCACCAGGTCTCCACCCCCTAAATTACCCTTCTTTGTTGTCTATAATCTTAAATCCAGTCACTCTTGTATTGTGTATGTTAAGAAGGCCCTTCCTCACCAGCCAAGTCAACCGAAGGGCTTCAGTATCATGGTGTGAGAATCTATGTGGGGAACTCTGCCCTTAATATCTTTAACCTGTATGCCCTTAGTTATACAGGCGATGAGTCACAATAACGTGGCTGAAGTATGTTGACCAGACCACACACTAGAAATTGAAGGGACGACGACGTTTCGGTCCGTCCTGGACCATTCTCAAGTCGATTGTGAGAATGGTCCAGGACGGACCGAAACGTCGTCGTCCCTTCAATTTCTAGTGTGTGGTCTGGTCAACCCTTAGTTATAAGTTGAAATATGCTGACCTTCCTGTCTGTATTCAGACTGAGCCTAGCATTATTTTAGGTGATTATAACGCTAGACATAGGAATATTGGTAATTCGCAGTTCAGTAATCGTAACGGCAACCAATTGGTGTCACTATTAGGTAGTCACGATGATGCACAGATTGTGGGTGACCTTGAACCGACGCATATCTACGGAGGTATTCTTGTTCTATGTCTCGGTGTCAAGGTCTCCCACACCGTGTGTGCCTCGTCAATAGTGCCAGATATGGCGTCTGATCATCCGGCCATATTAGCCACTGTAAGCATTGGCAGTTCTATCCTCCCTGGTGGAGTGTTCAAGCGGAAGAGGCTGGCTGTGCCCATCGATCAACGAGACAATTTTGTTGCTCATGTGTCAGATTAGTACAGTTCAGCTGAGCCTTCATCAGTTGAAGATTTTAACAATGAGCTCACAGGTACTATCGAGCAGTTTATAGAATCACTTGATCCATCGTCCAGGCCACGTTATCCAAATTACACTGGTCATAGCACTTATGCTTATTATATTCTAAATATTATTCTAAATTGCATGCATTAAAACGCACTGCCAGAAGAATTGGACTAGCTTATAGAAGGACCCGCACTGCTGAAATGCTTAAGCTCTTTCAAACGGCTTTGGCTGAGGCCAGGGAACGTATAAGAACATAAGAACAAAAAAAGAACTGAAAAACATAAATTAATAATTGAGTCGCAACATGGTTTTATAAATGGCCGTTCATGTTTAACAAATTTGTTATCTTTTTATTCTAGCATTGTTGAGGCAGTTGATAGTGGTAAGGATTGCGATGTTGTATACCTTGACTTTAGCAAAGCTTTTGATACAGTGCCACATGAAAGACTGATTAAAAAGATAGAGTCTCATGGTATTGGGGGTGCTATATTAAGCTGGATTAGGGCATGGCTATATCAAAGGAAACAGAGAGTTAGTATAAATGGAATCAAGTCAGAGTGGGAAAATGTTGTAAGTGGAGTGCCTCAAGGCTCTGTCCTGGGACCTCTGTTGTTTATAATATATATAAATGATTTAGATTCAGGTTTGAGTAGCAACATTTGCAAATTTGCCGATGATACGAAAATCGGTAGGGAAATTAATTCGGAGGAGGACTCACTATCACTTCAAGTTGATCTAAATAGGGTTTTGAAATGGTCAAAGGATTGGCAGATGCAGTTTAATGCTGATAAATGTAAAGTTCTGAGGTTAGGTAATGATGATAGAGTTACAAGATACGAGCTAGATGGTGTTGTGATTGCGAAGTCGAATTGCGAAAGGGATCTGGGAGTTATGATTAGTAAGAATTTAAAACAAAAGGATCAATGCATAAATGTTCGTAATAAGGCAAATCGGACACTTGGATTTATTAATCGCAGCGTTAGTAACAAGACACCTGGTGTGGTTCTCAAGCTATATCTTGCTCTAGTTAGGCCCCATTTAGATTATGCAGTTCAGTTTTGGTCGCCATATTATAGAATGGATATAAATTCACTTGAACGTGTCCAGCGTAGGATGACTAAGTTAATTCCCCAAATTAGAAATCTTTCATATGAAGAAAGATTAACAAAGCTTAAGTTGCATTCACTGGAAAGGCGAAGAGTTAGGGGCGACATGATAGAGGTTTACAAGTGGGTGAATGGACATAACAAGGGAGATATTAATAGGGTATTAAAAGTATCAACACAGGACAGAACACGAAACAATGGGTATAAATTGGATAAGTTTAGATTTAGGAAAGACTTGGGTAAATACTGGTTCAGTAACAGGGTTGTTGATTTGTGGAACCAATTGCCACGTAACGTGGTGGAAGTGGGGTCCCTCGATTGTTTCAAGCGCGGGTTGGACAAGTATATGAGTGGGATTGGGTGGTTATAGAATAGGAGCTGCCTCGAATGGGCCAATAGGCCTTCTGCAGTTACCTTTGTTCTTATGTTCTTATGTTAACAAAGGCAACTGCAGAAGGCCTATTGGCCCATACGAGGCAGCTCCTATCTATAACCACCCAATCCCACTCATATACATGTCCAACCCGCGCCTGAAATAATCGAGGGACCCCACCTCCACCACGTTACGCGGTAATTGGTTCCACAAATCAACAACCCTGTTACCGAACCAGTATTTACCCAAGTCTTTCCTAAATCTAAATTTATACCCATTGTTTCGTGTTCTGTCTTGTGTTGATACTTTTAATACTCTATTAATATCCCCTTTGTTGTGTCCATTCATCCACTTGTAAACCTCTATCATGTCACCCCTAACTCTTCGCCTTTCCAGTAAATGCAATTTAAGCTTTGTTAATCTTTCTTCATATGAAAGATTTCTAATTTGGGGAATTAACTTAGTCATCCTACGCTGGACATGTTCAAGTTGTTGTTGTTGTTGTTAAAGATTTAGCTATTCAGGACGGAGTGTCCATGTAGCACGGGCTATGGTGAGCCCGTAATTGAGTTTGGTTATACATGATAACCTTTTTCCTGTGATATTTAGGTCTAAGTTTAAAATGGAGGAGAGGACTTCTCCTTTTTCCCTGCTTATTTGTCGCTTCTGTTTTAGTGCACTGGTTTTAATCTTGTTTTATTAATATTATCTTGGTGGCGGATGTAGATGCAGAATGCTCACTAATGAGTCCCGTTCCTCAACAGCTTTTCTAATCATTGTAGTCGCGGTGGAATGTGCATCTAATGCAGCTGCTGTCGTTGGATTAATGTTGAGTTTGATGCGCAGGGCTTCAGTAGCTTCACATTCCAGTAAGTAGTGCAATAGCGGCGCCTCTGCTTCAGTTTCACAGATGTGACACTCTTTAACTATTGGGTTTATTACCTCCCAGCAGCACTTGTAACCAAGTCTGAGTCTGTGTATGGCTACTGCAATGTCTTTGGATATCTTTTTGCCAGGCTTGAAAGAGGAGTAACCAGTGGCTTGTTCATACCATATCGCAGTGGATCTTCCTTCCGATACTTTGGCTCTGTGGCGACTTTTGATAGTTGAGAATATTTTCTTCTTGATTTGCTCCTTTATCTGTGAGAAACTTGGAGGTATTTGAACCTGTACAACAGGTAGAGCAGTGGCAGTTTTTGCTAGTGAGTCTGCCTTTTCATTACCCTCTATGCCAATGTGACATAGATTCACATGTTCAAGTGAATTTATATCCATTCTATAATACGGCGACCAAAACTGAACTGCATAATCTAAATGGGGCCTAACCAGAGCAAGATATAGCTGAAGAACCACACCAGGTGTCTTGTTACTAACGCTTCGATTAATAAATCCCAGTGTCCTATTTGCCTTATTACGAACATTCATGCATTGATCCTTTTGTTTTAAATTCTTACTAATCATAACTCCCAGATCCCTTTCGCAATCCGACTTCGCAATCTCAACACCATCTAGCTCGTATCTTGTAACCCTATCGTCATTACCTAGCCTCAGAACTTTTCATTTATTAGCATTAAACTGCATCTGCCAATCTTTTGACCATTTCAAAACACTATTTAGATCAACTTGAAGTGGTAGTGAGTCTTCTTCTGTGTTAATTTCCCTACCGATTTTTGTATCATCTGCAAATTTGCAAATGTTGCTACTCAAACCTGAATCTAAATCATTTATATATATTATAAACAACAGAGGTCCCAGGACAGAGCCTTCAGGCACTCCACTAACAACATTATCCCACTCTGACTTAACCCCATTTATACAAACTCTCTGTTTCCTTTGGAATAGCCATGCCCTAATCTGTAGCGAGTAGATTATCCCAATAATATACTCGCTCCAAATGCATTGTTAATATTCTTGTCAACCTTTGGAGATGAATGAGGTGAGGCGTTGCCCGGGCAACACGTTGAGGTGTTGCCCGAGTATATAAGCAGCAGAATAGCAAACATTAACCAGAGTCTACTTTCAAGTGTGGTCTAGAGCAGACACTTGCGAGATACTGTACCGACGCTCAGTGCGCTCAACTCACACCAAAGTATCACCTGTGTACTACTGTATATTCGACCAAATATATATATATAGTATCTTAGTGTCTGTGTTTATTGTCACCATACTTTACGTAACAATAGAATCGTTACAAATCCATCTTAATATAGCACCCCCAATACCATGACCCTCTATTTTTTTAATCAGTCTTTCATGTGGCACTGTATCAAAAATTTTGCTAATGTCAAGGTACACAACTTCACAATCCTTACCACTATCAACTGCCTCAACTAAGCTGGAATAAAAAGATAGCAAATTTGTTGAACATGAACGGCCATTTGTAAAACTATGTTGCGACTCATTTACTAATTTATGTTTTTTCAAGATGAAGACGAATTGTATTTGCAATTATCGATTCAAGTAACTTTCCCACAATAGATGTTAGGCTAATTGGCCGATAGTTTGACGCAAGTGATCTATCTCCTTTCTTAAAAATTGGTACCACATTAGCTACCTTCCATGACTCTGGCACTCCACCTAACTCTATTGATTTATTAAATATGGTTGACAGTGGGTCGCAAAGCTCCTCTTTGCATTTTTTAAGCACACTGGCAAACACTTCATCCGGCCCTGGGGATTTGTTTGGTTTGAGTTTTACTATTTGTTTAAGAACATCCTCCCTGGTAACTGCTAAACTCTTCAACCTGTCCTCGTCCCCACCCACATAGACTTGTTCGGCTGAAGGCATATTGTTAAGTTCCTCATTAGTAAATACAGATATAAAATATTTATTAAAAATACTACTCATCTCCTCGTCATTATCCGTTATTTGACCTGTCTCAGTTTTTAATGGACCTATCCTTTCCTTAGTCTTAGTTCGATATAACTGAAAAAAAACTTTAGGATTTGTCTTTGCTTGCCCTGCTATGCGAACTTCATAGTTTCTTTTTGCTTTCCTTATCTCTTTTTTAACATTTCTAACCAGTTGTACAAATTCCTGTTCTAAACTAACTTCCCCATTCTTAATCCTTTTGAACCACGCTCTCTTTTTACCTATAAGGTTCTTCAGATCCTTTGTTATCCACTTTGGATCATTAGTATTCGATCTATTCAATTTATATGGTATACTACATTCCTGGGCTTTGCTTAGAATATTTTTAAATAGGTTAGAAATGTTAAAAAAGAGATTAGGAAAGCAAAAAGAAACTATGAAGTTCGCATAGCACAAGAAGCTGATTAAAGCACAATCCTTGCTTCGACAAGAAGCAAAGTACAATGTCTTAAGTCAAATTGATGCTTTAGTCAGAGAGCGCTCACTTTCCCAGATTATTTACACTGATGGATCCTTGCATCAGTCCCATGGTGCAGCTGGAAGTGCAGTTGTTGTGACAGGGAGAGATGGTTCCTTCTCCCATGAGTGTGGAGCGCGTCTCAGTAACTGGGCCTCCACTCTTCAAACAGAATTGGTTGCCATAATCCTTGCACTCGAGCGCGTATATGAATCCAAAGTTGACACGCTCATTGTAAGTGACTCCTTGTCATCCTTGACTGCCCTCAGCTCCCCAAGGCATAACTGTGACGTGCTTATCTCTGAGGCTAGACACAGATATAATGAAATAATCAATGATGGAGTCAGAGTTTGTCTCCTGTGGATTCCTTCCCATATTGGTCTCCGAATGCATGACAGAACTGATGAGTTGGCCAAGACTTTTGCTCATAAAGAGGGAATTGATTACAAAATTGGACTGTCTTTGAGCAGCCTGAGGGCAGTAATATTCCGGGAACATCAACTAAATTTCGGAGACTTGAGGCAAAGTAAAATTCACACCAATTACTCCATCTATCATCATTCTATTATGCAGGAAGTACCGCACGTCTATGGGTCATCCAATAATGTTAGCAGACTTCTAGATGTTACCACTGCTAGGCTTAGGCTCGGCTACAAGTACCTCTGGCAGTTTGTAACATCTGCTGATGTAGATTTGACTAAATGTAAACTCTGTCAGCAGAACTATTCGCATACTTTGCGTCATTATATAATGGAATGTGAAAAAATGGCGGAATTTAGAGATAACACCATCAATGGTGTACAAGAAATGTGTAAGTACTTCATTCATAATGATGTGCTGCCCGATATCTTGGCGAAGTATCTAAAGTTTGCTTACTGTAAGTAATGCATGCACATGACTGTAAAGCTGCCGCCCAGTTGGGTGGGTGTGGAGCACATGACTGTAAAGCTGCCGCCCAGTTGGGTGGGTGTGGAGCACATGACTGTAAAGGTGCCGCCCAGTTGGGTGGGTGTGGAGCACATGACTGTAAAGCTGCCGCCCAGTTGGGTGGGTGTGGAGCACATGACTGTAAAGCTGTCGCCCAGTTGGGTGGGTGTGGAGCACATGACTGTAAAGGTGCCGCCCAGTTGGGTGGGTGTGGAGCAAGACTAGTAACTGTGCGACTCATCATAGACGTAAAGTGCCTTGTAAAGTGACTGTTGTGAGCCTCTTGTTGAATCACTTGTGATACAAAAGATTATTGATGTACTCACCTAATTGTGCTTGCGGGGGTTGAGCTTTGGCTCTTTGGTCCCGCCTCTCAACTGTCAATCAACAGGTGTACAGATTCCTGAGCCTACTGGGCTCTATCATATCTACATTTGAAACTGTGTATGGAGTCAGCCTCCACCACATCACTTCCTAGTGCATTCCATTTACTAACTACTCTGACACTGAAAAAGTTCTTTCTAATGTCTCTGTGGCTCATTTGGGTACTCAGCTTCCACCTGTGTCCCCTTGTTCGCGTCCCTCCAGTGTTGAATAGTTCATCCTTGTTTACCCGGTCGATTCCCCTGAGGATTTTGTAGGTTGTGATCATGTCCCCCCTTACTCTTCTGTCTTCCAGTGTCGTAAGGTGCATTTCCCGCAGCCTTTCCTCATAACTCATGCCTCTTAGTTCTGGGACTAGTCTAGTAGCATACCTTTGGACTTTTTCCAGCTTCGTCTTGTGCTTGACAAGGTACGGGCTCCATATGCTGGGGCCGCATACTCCAGGATTGGTCTTACATATGTTGTGTACAAGATTCTGAATGATTCCTTACACAGGTTCCTGAACGCCGTTCTGATGTTAGCCAGCCTCACATATGCCGCAGACATTATTCTCTTTATGTGGGCTTCAGGAGACAGGTTTGGTGTGATATCAACTCCTAGATCTTTCTCTCTGTCTGTTTCATTAAGTACTTCATCTCCTATTCTGTATCCTGTGTCTGGCCTCCTGTTTCCACTGCCTAGTTTCATTACTTTGCATTTACTTTGCAGATGTGTGTATTTGTGTGGGTGATTAGATATGTATGTGTATGTATATGTACATGCATGCATGAGTATGTGTACATGTATATATAACGTTAATAGTTTTGTAACTAGCGTCAAAAGATTGTTAATGGCTTAGGTAAACGAACTAGAGGGTTCAGTTCCTGAACCGATTATGTGCCTCTGTAATCCTTTACAGCACCGCCCACGGGATGGGTATGGGGTGCATAATAAAGAAAGAAATTGAATTGAAAGGTTTTGCGTGTTAGTGGCTTCACTAGAATGTAAAATCATCAATACTATGTAGTCTCATAAATCCCATGTACCTTCTTGTATATAAATAAATAAATGAATAAATAAATAAATAAATAAATAAATAAATAAATAAATAAACAAATAAATGAATGAATAAATAAATTAATGAATAAATTAATAAATAAATAAATAAATTCTGTTAAAATGTTTAGCAATTTTCATGTCAGCGACAGCTGGGTTATTATAATTTAATAATTGTAGTTGTTTACTGTGTGAGCCTCCATTGTGTGTATTTGTGTCAAGACATAAAGAGTTAGTGGAGTGTTGAGGATATGTTGTGAGGAGAGAGAGTTAGAGAGAGAGAGTTAGAGAGGGGGTTGGGGGGAGAGAGCGCGGGCGCCGCCACCGAGGCTCAGTTGTCCAGCTCTCCCCGATGTGTACACACGCTACTCAACATCTTATTATATATTCCTATAAAAATGAAGCTGGTACATAAGGAAATCGACAAGGATGGCCGAGGGTGAGTGGGAAGTGGGCCTCACAACAACAATCTGGCCTTCATAGCTCTTGATTATTTTTCTCCGTAAAAAGAAAGTGGGTAGAAATGTTGGAGTTAGAGTAGAGAATATGTACTTGTGTTTGGTGGAGGGACTTGGGCAGCGTGAGTGTGTTGGTGTGGGGTGGAGAAGGGTGTAATGGGGGGGGGGGGAGGTGTGCTCTCACTTCTCTACCATAAGCTCCACCGAGTTGAATGTATGACGTCACAATGACGTCACACCCAGCACCGTATCATCATAATTCATTGTCAGGGGACAGGTAGCCAGGTTATACATGCAGTACATGTTAGGCTTATTTCGTCCCCCCCCCCTTCAGGGTCAAGTTATGGACCCTCCCCAGGGTACAACCCCACAAGAGGCTGACTAACCCCTAAGTACCCACCTACTGCTAGGTGGGCAGGGGTATTAGTTGATAGGAAACGCGAGATTCAAACACGGAATTCTGAATTGTGAGTCGAGAGTGAACCCAACTGTACTACTGGGACCCTTATGTTGTATGTATAGTAACTGCATGTATTGTATATGTAACACATATGTTTCATATACTGCACCTTGGTCGCTGGTCTAGGGTGCCATATACCCTGGTCGCTGCCCCAGGGTGCCATATACCCTGGTCGCTGGTCTAGAGTGCCATGTACCCTGGTCGCTGCCCCAGGGTGCCATGTACCCTGGTCACTGGTCTAGGGTGCCATGTACCCTGGTCGCTGGTCTAGGGTGCCATATACCCTGGTCGCTGCCCCAGGGTGCCATATACCCTGGTCGCTGGTCTAGGGTGCCATATACCCTGGTCGCTGCCCCAGGGTGCCATATACCCTGGTCGCTGGTCTAGGGTGCCATATACCCTGGTCGCTGGTCTAGGGTGCCATATACCCTGGTCGCTGCCCCAGGGTGCCATATACCCTGGTCGCTGGTCTAGGGTGCCATATACCCTGGTCGCTGCCCCAGGGTGCCATATACCCTGGTCGCTGGTCTAGGGTGCCATATACCCTGGTCGCTGCCCCAGGGTGCCATATACCCTGGTCGCTGGTCTAGGGTGCCATATACCCTGGTCGCTGGTCTAGGGTGCCATGTACCCTGGTCGCTGCCCCAGGGTGCCATGTACGCTGGTCTAGGGTGCCATGTACCCTGGTCGCTGGTCTAGGGTGCCATATACCCTGGTCGCTGGTCTAGGGTGCCATATACCCTGGTCGCTGCCCCAGGGTGCCATATACCCTGGTCGCTGCCCCAGGGTGCCATATACCCTGGTCGCTGCCCCAGGGTGCCATATACCCTGGTCGCTGCCTCAGGGTGCCATATACCCTGGTCGCTGCCCCAGGGTGCCATATACCCTGGTCGCTGCCCCAGGGTGCCATATACCCTGGTCGCTGCCCCAGGGTGCCATATACCCTGGTCGCTGCCCCAGGGTGCCATATACCCTGGTCGCTGCCCCAGGGTGCCATATACCCTGGTCGCTGCCCCAGGGTGCCATATACCCTGGTCGCTGCCCCAGGGTGCCATATACCCTGGTCGCTGCCCCAGGGTGCCATATACCCTGGTCGCTGCCCCAGGGTGCCATATACCCTGGTCGCTGCCCCAGGGTGCCATATACCCTGGTCGCTGCCCCAGGGTGCCATATACCCTGGTCGCTGCCCCAGGGTGCCATATACCCTGGTCGCTGCCCCAGGGTGCCATATACCCTGGTCGCTGCCCCAGGGTGCCATATACCCTGGTCGCTGCCCCAGGGTGCCATATACCCTGGTCGCTGCCCCAGGGTGCCATATACCCTGGTCGCTGCCCCAGGGTGCCATATACCCTGGTCGCTGCCCCAGGGGCACCATATACCCCTAACTGCTGCCCCAGGGCACCATATACCCCTAACTGCTGCCCCAGGGCACCATATACCCCTAACTGCTGCCCCAGGGCACCATATTTATTTATTTTATTTATTTATTTATATATATACAAGAAGGTACATTGTGAGGATACATAGCATAATAACAACATTCTTGTAAAGCCACTAGTACGCACAGCGTTTCGGGCAGGTCCTTAATCTAAGAAACTTATAAGTAGGTAAATACTTGCCAAATTTATAAAAATGGTAAGTTACATAGCATGAAAAAAATAAAAGATGAGAGAAAAATTGTAGGTATATTAAAGCACATAGGTAACTCAGAATGATTGCAATGACTTTGAATGGTAGTTGACAAAACTTAGTATGCACAATACAGCATATGGCTAGCACATAAAAGACAGCAATGAACACAATGATAAAGTTGTTTGGATTAAGTACATAAAGATTGGGAGATTGGATGACACTAGATACAGAGCAAATTTAAAGCTCGGTGTAGGAAACTATGAAGATGAAATTAGGTACTTTTTGTTTTTAAATGAGGCAAAAGCTTGACAGCTTTTCAATTCACTAGGGAGTGAGTTCCATAGACTAGGTCCCTTAATTTGCATAGAGTGTTTACACAGATTAAGTTTGACCCTGGGGATATCAAAGAGATGTTTATTTCTGGTGTGGTGATAAAATAAATAATATAAATATATATATATATATATATATATATATATAATATATGTATATATGTATATATATATATATATATATATATATATATATATATATATATATATATATATATATATATATATATATATATATATAAATAAATAATAATCATATTTCAATCGTGTATATGTAATCGTGTAATCATCGTGTATAATGTGTATGTGTAATCATATACCCCTGACTGCTGCCCCAGGGCACCCATATACCCCTAACTGCTGCCCCAGGGCACCCATATACCCCTGACTGCTGCCCCAGGGCACCCATATACCCCTGACTGCTGCCCCAGGGCACCCATATACCCCTGACTGCTGCCCCAGGGCACCCATATACCCCTGACTGCTGCCCCAGGGCACCCATATACCCCTGACTGCTGCCCCAGGGCACCCATATACCCCTGACTGCTGCCCCAGGGCACCCATATACCCCTGACTGCTGCCCCAGGGCACCCATATACCCCTGACTGCTGCCCCAGGGCACCCATATACCCCTGACTGCTGCCCCAGGGCACCCATATACCCCTGACTGCTGCCCCAGGGCACCCATATACCCCTGACTGCTGCCCCAGGGCACCCATATACCCCTGACTGCTGCCCCAGGGCACCCATATACCCCTGACTGCTGCCCCAGGGCACCCATATACCCCTGACTGCTGCCCCAGGGCACCCATATACCCCTGACTGCTGCCCCAGGGCACCCATATACCCCTGACTGCTGCCCCAGGGCACCCATATACCCCTGACTGCTGCCCCAGGGCACCCATATACCCCTGACTGCTGCCCCAGGGCACCCATATACCCCTGACTGCTGCCCCAGGGCACCCATATACCCCTGACTGCTGCCCCAGGGCACCCATATACCCCTGACTGCTGCCCCAGGGCACCCATATACCCCTGACTGCTGCCCCAGGGCACCCATATACCCCTGACTGCTGCCCCAGGGCACCCATATACCCCTGACTGCTGCCCCAGGGCACCCATATACCCCTGACTGCTGCCCCAGGGCACCCATATACCCCTGACTGCTGCCCCAGGGCACCCATATACCCCTGACTGCTGCCCCAGGGCACCCATATACCCCTGACTGCTGCCCCAGGGCACCCACTGCTATACCCCTGACTGCTGCCCCAGGGCACCCATATACCCCTGACTGCTGCCCCAGGGCACCCATATACCCCTGACTGCTGCCCCAGGGCACCCATATACCCCTGACTGCTGCCCCAGGGCACCCATATACCCCTGACTGCTGCCCCAGGGCACCCATATACCCCTGACTGCTGCCCCAGGGCACCCATATACCCCTGACTGCTGCCCCAGGGCACCCATATACCCCTGACTGCTGTCCCAGGGCACCCATATACCCCTGACTGCTGCCCCAGGGCACCCATATACCCCTGACTGCTGCCCCAGGGCACCCATATACCCCTGACTGCTGCCCCAGGGCACCCATATACCCCTGACTGCTGCTCCAGGGCACCATATACCTTGAATGTTGCTCCAGGGCACCATATACTCCTGAATGCTGCTCCAGGGCACCATATACCCCTGAATGCTGCCCCAGGGCACCATATACCCCTGACTGCTGCTCCAGGGCACCATATACCTCTGACTGCTGCCCCAGGGCACCATATACCCCCTGACTGCTGCCCCAGGGCACCATATATCCTGACTGCTGCCCCAGGGCACCAACAGTACTAGTGGGTTTTAGTAAGGCTATTCCACACTGGGTAATTAAGACAAGTCATAACATCATGCCCAAAATTATTTGCCAGTGGATTTGAAAACTTGCCCAACCCCACATAATTTAAACTTATCCAACATTAGTAACCTAACCTAACACGTTGTAAATAAATATTTTATTTGACTTTAAACATTACGAAATGGATATATAAATCAAGGAAACTGCACGCCTATTGCAGACAATGAGTCACAATAACGTGGATGAAGATATGACCAAACCACACACCAGAAGACGAGACGACAACACTTTGGTTCGTCCTGGACTGAAACATTTGAGTATACAATTGATTATGTACAGTACTGTGAAAGGGAAGAGTCAACGGCAACACAGTCAGGACTAAGGGCACCATATACCCAACATACCCAACATTCATGTTGGGTTACCTGGTTACCTGGTTGATACCTGGTTGATGGGGTTCTGGGAGTTCTTCTACTCCCCAAGCCAGGCTCGACTTGAGAGTTTGGTCCACCAGGCTGTTGCTTGGAGCGGCCCGCAGGCCCACATACCCACCACAGCCCGGTTGGTCCCGCACTCCTTGGAGGAATAAATCTAGTTTCCTCTTGAAAATGTCCACGGTTGTTCCGGCAATATTTCTTATGCTGTTATGATGTTGGTATGTTGGGTATCAGAGCCGATTCGACAAGACGGCGTCTGTGAAGAGTAGAGCCAGGAAAGATTATTTTAGAAGACCACAGCGCCTGACAGCTGAGCGGACAGTGCTTCAGATTCGTAGTCCTGAGGTTCTGGGTTCGATCCCTAGTGGAGTCGGAGACAAATGGGCTAAAAGTTTTTCACCCTAATGCCCCTGTTACCTAGCAGTAAATAGGTACCTGGGAGTTACAGCTGCTACGGGCTGCTTCCTGGGGGTGTGTAACAAAAGGAGGCCTGGTAGAGGAGATGCTAAGCCCCAAAAAATCATCTCAAAATAGCCTCACATCTCATGATAACCAGTCCATAGGATGATTAGAATCCCTAACATGACAGAAGAGAGCATTGTTTGTGTCTGCAGACTTAACACTTCTTTTGTGTTCCTTAATTAAAGTGTTATTTAGTGTATGGCCAGTTTCCCCAAAGTATTGGAGACAAGATGAGCAGAAAATGAGTAGACACCAGCAGCAGTGTGAACCAGATTACTACGAAATGTTAGTTTGTCGAAAAATGAGCTTAATGTCAAGAGGACAAAGGGTATTAGTAAGATTTTTAGTTCAGATGTGAAGGGAAGGCTCAGCACAGTGTTAATAGTGTTGGAAAAAGGTTTGGGATGAAAGAAATTTTGTTCAGCTTGAGAATAGGCATCTTCATAGATGCCATTTTGTATACCTTTCTGGTGGCCTGTGCTTGGTCTGGGTGGTGTCTGATTCTTGGATCCCTGTGCCTCTATAGAGTGGGTCAGGTTTTAGTCTGATTGCCTGTAGGCTTGCAGTGATTTCCATGGACGTGGTGTTGATCAACTTGGGTAGGGCTAGCCAGGTGGCTAGTAACAGGGGACTTTCAAGGACAAACCAGAAAGAGGTTTTCATTAAATTCAATGCTGCTTTTTGGTATATGGCATGATAGACCTATATAGTTTCTATTCATCTATCTCAGTACAGTATTTGTATAGTATTTTTTTGGTATCAGACTGGAATACTGTACCATTTTGTTAGCTTCTCAAATGAGTATTCTACTAATACTGTACATTATTTAGCAAATTAATCATCTGTAAGGTTGCATTTAAAGTTATCAGTAACTCCCAATGCCACATGAATCAACCAGTAATAGCAATTCTTAATAAAATAAAAGTACTATTTTTCTACAATGTTTAACAAAGGATATAAAGGTAAATTGGTTAGGTTTAAATTCTAAACACTTTACCACTACAGGTAATTTAATGATACGTATTAAAACATTTATTGAAAACAAGAAGGTATAACACTAACAAAATTATCCCTGTAATATAGGTACAGTATATACTTCAAATACAGTAAAATAGCAGTATTTTGTAATCATGGTTGAATAATGATGTACTGTACTGTACTGTAATAAACAAATTTGTAAGCTGACCAACATTCAGCATTGGTGGGGATCTTGCATCAGCTTTGAAACTTTTTGAGTTACCTTTTTTTCATGATTTGTATTGAGATGAATTTATTTATATCTCTTGACATTATTATGTAATGAATGTATTTGCTTTTTAGTTAAGTAGTTTGTACTTCAATTAATAAATTGTATATATCTTGTCTTTCAGTATTGTGTTATGTAATTTACTGAACATATTTGCTTATCCAAATGTCTGCTTGGGCTATTTATTTAAGAATTATTGAACAATAGTACAACCTATTACTGTATTTACTATTTGTATTTAATAATGCTCATCTTCTTAATATCTTTACAATGTGCTTTAATGAGCAACAAGTCATTAATTTTCTTATGTGAGCAGCAAGATGGTGCTGTTGCCGGATGAGGGGGAGGATATGTGGCACACTTACAACATCATGATGGAGGGTGATTGCCTCAGGGCTACCACTATCAGGAAAGTCCAGCAAGAATCTGCCACAGGATCGTCGTCTTCATCCCGAGTTCGTACGACCATCACCATTCGAGTTGAGGCCATCACTTTTGACACCGGGGCATGTATGCTTAGGTACAGTAATTCATACAATACTTAATTGTTTATGAATTTAGATAAGTTTTCTTGTTATATTTACAGTAGTGAATTATAAATTATTGGTATTCCATAAATTATGCTAATTTGGCCTACTCAAAAGTTATATTTTTTTAAGTTTAGTTATTTATTAGCCTTCCCTTACTCTGACCCATCTCATGAGTGGCAGTGAAAAGGGTTACAGAGGCGATGCATTCAAGAACTGAGCCCAATAGTTCATTTAGCTAAGTAAGTAACAATCTTGTGCAGCTATTTAAAAAATAGTTTGTTTAAAAAGCTATTAAAATTTTTAAAATTATTTTTTAATACACACGTGTGTAAAATTACCCAAGTGTAGTTACAGGATGAGAGCTACGCTCGTGGTGTCCCGTCTTCCCAGTACTCTTTGTCATATTAGTATGTGGCGCCCTTCCCCAACTGCGAGGCCGTCGGGGTCGATGCCTTTCGGCAGGACTGGTCGAGGTGGGGGTTCCTGTACCTCTTTCCCCTGGTTCAACTGTTGCTCCAGGTCCTGACTTGCTTGAAGACTTACCAGGGAAGTAGTCCTCTTGGCCACCATGGTGGCTGGCCCAGCCTTGGTTTCAGGCGCTGCTTGCTCAGTGTCCAAACTCGGAGGTTTTCTCGCGGCTCCGTCTCTTTCAGCAGATCGGACTGGTGCGTCATGTGGCTGGTATGAAGTTTCTTGGCCATCCTTCCGTTTCTTTTTGATTCTTCGTCGTTGTACTTCACTTTCGGGTCAGGTGATGATGTTCTTTCTCTCGTGCTGGTTGTTACAGGACCATCATCTTATGCCAAATACTGTCGCCTCGTACCGTGCTGCGCTGACGGAGCCGCTTCAGCTTGCTTTTGGTATTGATGTTACTTCTGCATCATTTCGCAAGCTGCCTTGTGTGTGGTGCTTTTGTGCTCTTATCTTTCTTCTCCTCGGTTTGTAGTGGCCCCTTCGGTTCAGGACTATTTCTCTAAGGAACTTTTCTTGTTGGCATTGGCCTCTGGGAGTCGGTCGGGGAATTTCATGCTCTCTGGTGCAGGGATTTCTGCTCGTTTGATCCTGGTGTAGGTTTGTTCCTTTGCAGCCATCTTCTTTTCTGGCAAAGAATGAGACTGCTGCTTTCCGGAGGGGTCCTTGGGTTGTTGATGCTTGATTCGTTAGGCTGGGGGTGCATCATGTGTTGTGTCCGGGTTGTGGTTCTCCGTTGTTATTTACGCGCCACGGACTCTTGTGGCTGGGGATGCGCTTTGGGTTGATCCGGTTTCCCTTCTTTCCTATTCCAGTGTTCGGGTCTCCCAGGTAATCCGCAGGGTTATTTAGTCTAGCCAGCCTGTGGTCCCCATGCCCATGACATTTGTAAGTTTGCTGCCCTTGCTGCTGTTTTTGGGAACATGTCTTGGGTTGACATTCAGGTGCAGGGTTTTTGGCGGTTGAACAGGGTCCTGGCTGCATGTTACTTGGTGAATGTTCCTGGGCCTCGTCGGGCCTGTGTCGCTTTGGGTTGAAAGGTGCAGCTGGTTGTCTCAACTTCGTATTGAGGAGTGAGCAGTGACCGCATCCCGGTTAAGTCCCTCTGATTTTTATCTTTTGGTATGTAGCTCTAAGGAGCCGATGGGGCTCCCCCCAGAAAACCAGCATTGAATGTAATGAAACGCCATTTTCTGGGCGAGACCTGAAGACTCCCCGGCAACCCTCCCTCCCACCGGTCGGCGTTTTTTTATATCCAGCCTCAGAACTGGGGTGTGGATTGCCAGTGCGGGTTGACCATCAATACTCGGAATAGACCTAAAACGTTGATAAAGCGAGAGGGGCTATTCAGTAAATTCAATTTTAATAATAAAATAGACTGAGAGATAATAAACAGGGAACTTGCAAACATTCCATGGGAAACTGTTTTAAGTAATACAAGTCCTACAGAAGGAATAGAAAAACTGAGTGTATCAAGTCTGTCTGAAACATGTTCCTTCGAGGAAAGCCAGCAAGAGATCCAACGTAGAAAGAGAATGCAGACGACACTATAAATGCAGGAAAATAATAACGGAACTGGTTATGCAGACACGAATTTCCCGTCAAAGAAGGAATAATTTAAATAGGGAGATTGAAGAAATCGAGTGGAAATTGAAGCACTCATATCAAATTGAAGAAAGGCAGTTAGAACAGAAAGCAGTTCAGGAAATAAAGAAAAATCCAAAATACTTCTTCACATATGCAAAATCAAAAGCAAAAACCACTGCCAGTATTGGACCTATTCGTACAAGTGAAGGTTCATACACGGAGGATGACAAAGAAATTAGTGAAATTCTAAAAAAGCAGTATGAGGACATGTTTAGTACTCCAATAAACATGAAAGTGGAAGATCCAGACAATTTCTTTATGCGGGATATTCAAGCCCCTGTAAATATAACTGATATCAACACGAGCGCACTAAATTTTGAAAGAGAAATTGAAAACATGCCCATGCACTCGGCCCCAGGTCCAGACTCATGGAATTCAATATTTATAAAGAAATGCAAAGTGCCAGTAGCACAAGCACTCAGTATAGTGTGGAGGAAGAGCTTGGACACGGGGGAGATACCAGATGCACTTAAAGTAGCAGACATAGCCCCTCTACACAAGGGAAGGAGCAAAGCATTGGCAAAGAATTATAGATCAGTTGCACTAACATCGCACATAATAAAAGTATTTGAGAGAGTGATTAGGAGTCAGGTCACCAATTTCATGGAGACCAATGACCTCCACAACCCAGGCCAACATGGATTTTGAGCAGGAAGATCGTGCCTCTCACAGCTACTTGAGCACTACGACAAAGTCACTGAGGCATTAGAAGAAAAACAGAATGCTGATGTGATATACACGGACTTCGCAAAGGCTTTCAATAAACGTGACCATGGCGTGATAGCACACAAAAGGAAGTCAATGGGAATAACCGGTAAAGTAGGATGCTGGATACTCAGTTTTCTGTCAAACAGGACTCAGCGAGTAATGGTCAACCATATAAAATCTAGTCCAAATGCAGTTAAAAGCTCTGTACCTCAGGGTACAGTCCTTGCACCGCTGCTTTTCCTTATTCTCATATCAGATATAGACAAAAATACAAGTCACAGCTTCGTGTCGTCCTTTGCGGATGACACAAAAATCAGTATGAAAATTACCTCAGCTGAAGACATTGTAAAACTTCAAGCTGATATTAATAAAGTTTTCAACTGGGCATCAGAAAATAACTTGATGTTTAACAGTGATAAATTCCAGGTACTCAGGTATGGTAAAAATGAGGACCTTAAACATAATACAGAGTACAAAACACAATCAAATGTACCCATAGTAGGAAAAAAGCATGTAAAGGATTTGGGAATAATGATGTCTGACGACCTAACGTTTAGGGAGCATAACCAAGCAAATATTGCGACAGCCAGAAAATTGATAGGGTGGATTATGAGAACTTTCAAATCCAGGGATCCCATCACAATGGTTGTACTCTTCAAGTCACTTGTGTTGTCCCGTCTTGAGTACTGCTCAGTACTCACTTCCCCCTTCAGAGCAGGAGAGATTGCTGAAATTGAGGAAATACAGAGAACATATACGGCATACATAGATGCAATAAAGCACCTAAATTATTGGGATTGTCTCAAAGCACTCCAAATGTGCTCACTAGAAAGAAGACGAGAGAGATACCAAATAATATACACATGGAAAATACTGGAGGGCCAGGTCCCAAATCTACACAGTAAAATAACAACGTACTGGAGTGAACGATATGGAAGAAAATGCAGAATAGAACCAGTGAAGAGCAGAGATGCCATAGGCATAATCAGAGAACACTGTACAGTATAAACATCAGAGGTCCACGGTTGTTCAACGTCCTCCCAGCAAGCATAAGAAATATTGCCGGAACAACCGTGGACATCTTCAAGAGGAAACTAGATTTATTCCTCCAAGGAGTGCCGGACCAACCGGGCTGTGGTGGGTACGTGGGCCTGCGGGCCGCTCCAAGCAACAGCCTGGTGGACCAAACTCTCACAAGTCAAGCCTGGCCTCGGGCCGGGCTTGGGGAGTAGAAGAACTCCCAGAACCCCATCAACCAGATATCAACCAGGTAACCAGGAGTCTGGGGCTCCCTCTTACCCCTCCCGGGGAAGGGGGGAGCTGGGCAGACGGCAGCGCAGCAACGTGTGACGTTGTAACAGACTAGGCTGTTGTAAGAATTATCCAGAGTGGTTTATCGACAAAAGAGAATGGGAAGCTGAGCCGCATGGTGACCTGACCCCCAGGGGAATTCGCGGTGGAAATAACCGACGCTTTGTTCATATCTGCGTATAATGAATCATCCTATAGTATTCAGTAATTTAGAGAAAATTAGCCTTTATTCATTTTGCATAAAAATTGTATTGTATAATAGTACTGGATACAATATCAAGAGTATTCTAATTATTGAGTTTAAGTCACCATCAGTGACGTCACGAATCCGATCTAACTTTTAAGGCGGAGTGACTGGCGGTCATAGGTCAGCAGGGTTGACATGTCTAGTATTTCTCAAAGTTCAATTAACCATTTTGGGGATCGGGAACAGCTCTGCCGTTAGATGTTTGTAATTCAATTCAGTAAAATAATTCAACCAGTCTGGATCAATTAAGTACAACAGAGGTTAATTGTTATAACTTAAACCTGGCTAGGAACTGGGTAGAACTTTGACTAGGCGGAAGGATACAAGGTTCTAGTCTGGGCTAGGCCAGACGAGGACAGATCAGTGTGGTCACGGAAGCAGCTGGGATAAGAGGTCAACATCTTACCTCTCCCCAAGAACAGCCCCAACACCTAGAGCTGTGGTCGCCCAAGGTATAGTTGCTATTGTTAAGTATAGAAATAGTCTCATTTGCCACTCAGGTCAAGTAGGGAGTGTTAAAGTGATAGGGAGTGAACCTATTTAGATTTTGTTTTAGTTTTCTTTTAATAAATTAAATTTGTTATTAATTTGCATTTTATTGTTTCC